GGAAGGGAAGGGAAGGGAAGGGAAGGGAAGGGAAGGGAAGGGAAGGGAAGGGAAGGGAAGGGCCATTAAGGTTGGAAAAACCCTCTAAGATTGCTGAGTCCAACCCTTAACCCAGCACCACCATGTTCATCACTAAACCACATCCCCATGTACTTAAGAACTATTTTAATCTTGCTTTGATATAATTTTCACTGGTTTTAGTGTCACAGCCCTGGAAGCTGCTGCTCCCGACTGAGTTTGCCACGTGATTTTGAATTCACTCAGACACTCCTGTGCCATCTCTCATTTATTCACTGGATAAACACCACCTGAGTGGTTCAACCCTGCATGAGTGAAATCAAAAGAAGGTTTCACATCAACCTCAGTGGGAAAATAAGCTGGCTCAGAGTGCTCCTGCACACTCAGCTGCATTAACTGCAGATCTCAGATCCACCTGCTCTGGTACTCCAAAAACACCACTTTTGGAAGTTATTTTTGAAAATCAGTGACTGTAAGTGCTCTGGTAGAGGCAGGGAAAGGGCATTTTAATGATTATATTTCATAACCATCACTGATGTCACCTAAAATCTGCACTCTTTTCCCTCACCTTGAAATTTGGTACATATTAAAGTAGCTTTAGTGGTCCTGGAGTGGCCCAGGGTTATACCAAATGTATCTCAGAATTATTAAGGTCAGAAAAGGCTGCTAAGCTCCAGTGCAACTGTTCCAGCACTGCCAAGGCCACCACTAACCCATGTCCCCAAATGCCACATCCACTAGTTTTTTGAACAGAGCTTATACAAAGGCAGCAGCTGATTGCAGAGGGAAAGCAGGAGAGTGGGAAGAAAAGGAAGGAATTGGAGTTTTAAGTGTTGAAGGCCAGGTTGGAGCAAGCTGGTGTAGTGTAAGGTGGAGAATGAGATGGTCTGTGAGGTCTCTTCCAACACAAACCATTCTGTGATCCCATGATTTTCCATCCCAGACCCATTTCTAGTGGTTTTGGACTGAAATGCTACCCTAGAAAACATAGGGAGATATGGGAAAGCATTTTCCAGTCGGGAAAAATAGTAGTGGAGAGTTGTAAAGCAACAGATGCTTCAGCAGAAGATGAGCTGTCCTGGAGGAGGGCTGGGCAGGAGGGGTGGTGGGTCCATCACACCTGCCTGGGTGCATCTGCCTGGGTGCATCTGCCTGGGTGCAGAACCCAGTATAAATCCAATAATGAAATTTTGACTGATTGAGCTTCTTCCTTGTTGTGGGAAGTCTGGATGAAGAAGATTTATCTTTTCAGTGAGATTTAGTTCCTTTTCTGTCTTCATTCATGACGTCCCCTGGCACTTCACTCACTGCTGGTGAGAGGTGTCCCCCAGGAAGGGAGCTGCTGTCACACAGACATGAGCTACACTGGGTTTGTTGTGACCCCTGGTGAAATCTGTCAGGAGAAGGACCGTTGTCCCCAGTTGTCTGATGTTAAATACATTCCTCTTCCAGCTGCAAAATAATTATCATTATGATCAATGTTCATGCAGTGCTTTGTGGCTGGGGACACCTGTTTTTTGACAGGTGCTTTCTCAGGATTGTGTGCTGAAGATCTCCCCTGAAAAATTTGAGGGCAGCCAGGGACACTGTTTCTTATTTGTTAGAATGCAAAGTGCAGCCTGGCCCTTCTCCCTGACTGGGATGAACTGCAACACAAAACAGGTTTAGTTTTGCCTGATAGTGCCTCACACAATTATTTCATCCATCATTTCTGTCTTCACTGCTCTCCACGTCTCAGAGTAATTCTGGAAGGGTTGAAATTCCACGTTGCAGTCTCTGCTTTGTTGTTTCTCCTCTTTTTCCCTGTTTGCCATGTGGATTGGCTACAGACAGCAATTAAGACTTTTGGACACTTCCAGACAAACTCCTGTTACTACAACAAACAGCTGGCAGTAGTTCCATCTCATGGAAAGCTGGAAGGCTCATTTCAGTGTCTGTGAACGGCCACAGACTTTTGTATATCAGCAGCTTTTGCAGAGCCAAGTTCTTGCAAACAAGTTGTGGAAGCAGATATTTGGCAAAGCAATTAAAATTTGTGAGAACTTTGTGACTGTCAGTCCAGGTGTTGGGCTGTTTGACTCTTTTGTCCAGTCCTAGTGGGAAATGCCTTCATTTTCCAGTGCTTCCAAGAATAATTGATGTTACTGTTCCTGATCAATTTTGAAATCTCTCTTTATGGAGGTTATTTTGCACAATTTTTTCCATTCTTTTCTGTTGAAAGTAGTGTATTCAGCACAATCTCATGCTCAGGCTGTTGATAATGATAATTTACCTAAAGAAATGCAAACCAAGTTGCTGCAAATCACTGAATCATATTTTAAAGGCCATCACTGCCATTGCTTTAACCAAGTGTGGGACAAAGCACCCTTTACTTCTCATCTGAGAACGTTTTTTAATGTCAATGCCTTTTCTAACTGGCTTCTCATTGTAATGATTTCTCCTAAATTATTTGACAGGCAGTGAAAATCCCCCACTGCTGAAATCCTAGAATTTTTCATCATCACTGAACCTTCAGCCAACTAAACATCACCTCAAAAGTCGTGGACTCCCATCTCTGCTCCTGTCACAGAAGTTTTCTACTCTCTGTCCCTGAAGAAAACTGGAGGAAGACTGAAAAACTGTATTTTCCAAGGTAATTTCTTTAATATGTACTTTTCTAGCTGCAATTTCAGGCAGAAAACCTGTCCATCCCCATTTCTGTGGGCAGAGGAAATGCATTAGGGATGGACAGGGATGGATGGGAATGGTCAATACCTGCTTGCTGCAGACAAATGGAGTCCTTCATGGGACTTGGTCTAGGAATAAGTTGAAATTGGTTTTCTGAGGACATCTTACTATTAAAAGTGAGGAGCTGAAGTCTTTGGGAGAGTGTTTTTCCAGTTCTCTGCCACTGCAGGACAGAGCTCAGTAAAATACAGTTGTACTGGCTCGAAGAAGTTTTGTTTAAAGAGATGCAAAGGTCACAATTAAACTCAAAACATTGCAATGATCCTAATTATGGAAATAAATGTAGGCTCTGCTAAGAGAGATGTACCACTGCAAAAATCAATGATGGAGCGCAGGATAAATCACACAGTCCTAGAAGCAAGTACAAAGGACTCTGTAATAGAGACACCCTGTTTGAAATTATAATCTCAAATAATTTAGGCACCTCATTTGCAATTGCATATTGTTTTCAGGCACTTCCAAAAATTCCTGAAGCTCTCAGCTATTTCACAAAGGAATGTGCTTCATAAAGTGTCTGTGACACACACAGCCCATATGTTTGTTGACATATGGACTCTGGCTATCCAATTTAAACCCTTTTTGGGGCTAAACACAGGACTGTGATGTGCACAATAAATATTGATTCCTGTTTTTCACTTAACACAGAATAAAATAATTGCATAAAGCCCTAAAGCCTAAAGCACTGATGGATTTTTCCACAGGCAAAGGCAGACAAAAGAACACACAGAGTTTTCCAGCAGCACCCCCAAGGCAGCAACATCACCTCTTTTTTTTTCCATGGAGGTTTCAGTCCAGGCATTTTCTGCTTTATGTGCAGAAGAACAGGAAAAGGGAACAGTTGATGTGATGTGAAGAAAACCTGTGATTTTTTTAGGGGTTTTAACCAGCAACCTGAATTCTCCCTAGAATATCCTGATGTCTTTGACCTGCTAACCCTGGAGATGTGCACAGGCTGCTTCTCCAATGCTGTGTGATTTTCCAGTGCATTGCTCTCCCTAAAACATGTGTAGGGACGTTTATTTGCAGAAAGACTATGACAAAAAAATGTAATTATAAAAAAAAAACCACCAACAAAACACCTATGGCTTGTCCAACAATATGTGAAAGTCTTATTTGATTACTTGCCATTCTGTTTGTTTACTTGCTCGGCTTCATCATAAAGTATTTCCTACTAAAACTACAGAATTTCTGTTCAGATCTATTTTTTTAATTAATTTTTTTTCTCTTTGACATGGGCTCTGATACTCCAAACACTAATTTTCTCCTCTCTGCATTGAAAAACTGTTCTCATGGAGCTTTCTGGTGAGATCCTCTCTGCTGATGGTGTGGAGCTCTCACGGGGTATTTCAGCTTTTGCTTTCAGTAGGAAAAAAAAAGAAGGTAAAAGTGAATTTCAGGCCTCTGCTGTGGCTGTTCTGGCACAGTGATTTTTGCTGTATTACCTGATTTACTGCATGTTCCACTTGCATTGCTTTGGCAGGGCTGGGTTGTTTGCTCAGAGTACCCAAACACATGGAAGAAGACGGATATAGGGCCTGGTCTGGTGGCATCACTGGCATAGCTGCATCACTACGGTATCTTGAAGCTGTATTTGTTTTTAAAGTGAGTCTCCAGAGCAGACTGGATATCCAGGCACTGCTGCTGGATGTGGATTCCCTCCCTGCAGGCAGTGGATGCAGCTCCATTCCCTCCCTGCAGGCAGTGGATGCAGCTCCCAGCCCGTGGCGATTCTGGCGCTTCCCTGCCCAGCCTGAAATAGTTTTTCCTGCAGGAAAGAAATCCACGTTACAGGACACCATCTCTCTAATTTGACAGCCTTATTGGCAGCCCTTGCTGTGAGGCCAAGGAGCTGTGTGAGCAGGGACTTTGGAATTGCCATCCCAGCCCCTGGAAGTCTCCCTTCAGTTCACTGGGAGCGCGTTGGCAGCAAGGGCTGGAGCAGCTCCGTCAGCCTCTGCTGGATGTCTGTCAGAGTGGAGCCAGGCTTAATAAACCTGCTCAAACTTAATGCTAGACCAGAAGAAAATGTACAAAATAGAACCTTGCCTTGCCTTGCCTTCCCTTTTTCCTCCATTTTTTCTTTTCTCCTTTTCTTTTTCGTTTCCTTTTCCCCCTTTCCTTTTTCATTTCGCTTTTCCCCTTTGCCATACAAAGAGGCCAGTTGGTAACAGGGCCCATAAAGTCCTGTGTTCTCTGCAGTATCACCAGCTGTAAACTAAAATATATGGCACCTTCCCCTGGGATGTGATTAATTATTCTTCATTAGTTCTTATTATTTTCTCCTGAAAATCTCAATCAAATCAAGCCAGAACTGAAATACCAGGGGAAAAAAAAAATAAAAGGAGAAGCAGTTATACTTGAAATGTATGTCAGGAATCAGTTGGATGCAGATTCCTGGAAGTTTAATTTGGTTTGTGCAGTGCTGAAGGACCTGACTGTGTTTTTAGCAGCATTTTGGGTCAGCTGGATGGAACAATCTCTGCCCAGGCCTTATGATGACTCAGCAGAAACCCCAGGGCTGCCCTGTAAGGCTGCTCTGCTCATCTAAGGCTCCCGAGGATTTTTGGATGTTCAAAAATTTAGGCACATACATTTTGGCAATATAAACAAACCCAGCCCACCGTTAGAAATGGAAGACACAATTATATTTTGCTGTTATATTTAACAAGAAAGATGCCATATAAATTAGTAAGAATGTGTAAATACACAGTTTAATAAAGATACTCACACCCCCCCAGAATGTGGAGTTTATGGCCTTGTGCAATGTAATTATGTTTATATGATTATGAGCATCATAAACTGCAGAGAGTCACATGGCACTGACTGCTGAGGGTGTGTGTAACTCTGCTGATGCACAGGACCACAGCTGAAACACTGAACATCACCCTGCAACTGTGTCACAGGGACCAGAGGGGAAGGTGGTTTGGTTTGTTTGTATTTCTGAAGTGAAGAACTGGGAAAAAAAAAAAAACAACACAAGAAGCTTCCAGACTGGTACTGCTCTGATCTGCTGTTTAATCATGGAATCCTGGAATGGTTTGGGTTGAAAGGGGACCTTGAAGATAATTTTGTTCCACCCCTTGCCATGGGCAGGGACACCCTCCCACTATCCCAGGTTGCTCCAAGCCCCGTCCAACCTGGCCTTGGACACTTCCAGGGATGGGGCAGCCACAGCTTCTCTGGGCAACCTGTGCCAGGGCCTCACCACCCTCACAGGGGAGAACTTTTTCCTAATATCTCATCTAAATCTATTCTCTTTGGGTGGGAAGCCATTCCCCCTTGTCCTTTCACTACCTGCCCCAGTGAAAATTCCCTCTCCAGCTCTCCTGGAGCCCCTTTAGGCACTGGTAGGGGCTCTAAAGTCTCCCTTGAGCCTTCTCTTCTCCAGGTGAACACCCCCAGCTCTCCCAGCCTTTCACCTTTTTCTTCCATTAAACACTTTTCTCCTTCATTTGTTCCATCCACGTGAACTGGATGATCCCAATGATTCCTTCCGACATCCCTTTTTGTTTCTTTTTGTCCCTGGCAGAGGAGAGAAGCTGGAAATGGGGCTCTCCCAGTGCCTCACTGGGCTTTCTCCTGCTGCTCTCCGGGCTGCCCGCAGCGTATGATCCATTCAAAGAGCAGAACAGGCTCTTTCCTGACCTCAACAACCAGTCAAACAACCTCAGAGACTGAAGACAGACCCCAGCAAAGGCCTGGTAACCCGGGTTTTGAATCCTGTAGGGATTTCAGACTTTTTTGGCTGCAGGACTTGGATCTTTCCCAGCAGAGCAGTGGCTGCAGTTGATGCCCCGGGATGGAGATTTTTAGCCTCTATTGCAAAGCCTGAAATTTCTCTCTGTTTCCTTGTGTTGCTTCTCTGTCTGTGACCTAAATTATGAGGAGAGGATATTAAGCCTGGATTTTAACTTAAGAGCTGACTACACCCACAGGAGGAATTAAAGCCCAGTGTTGTTCTTTGATTGAAGGTAAGCAAGCAGTGAAATTGTACTGGGTTCCTTGTTTAAACTGCTGCCAGAAATAGGAAATTTTGAGCAATGTTTTGCTCTTCTTTATTGCTCTTTCTCCTCTAAAACTGGTCCAATACCCCCACCATATTTCCATGGCAAGGGGTTGGAATGAGATGGTCTTTAAGGTCCCTTCTAACCCAAACCATTCTATGATTCTGTGACATTTAGACACAACACAGTCCTGGTTTGACTTGTCGGTTTGTTATTTTGTAATAAAATGTCATCTAACCTTAAATTCTTCCCCCTTCCTGCTTCCTATTAAACCTGATTTCCCCCAAACCAACATTTGCCAGTCCTTACTGGAATTCCTTCACCGTTAAGTCTGTGGGGTTTTGTGTGCAATGTCACTGTTGTGGTACCAGAGAAAACCTTGGGAAAGGAATGTGGCAGAGCTCCAACATCTTGGATGAGTCCTGAATTGCTCATTGCTATGAGAAAGTGCAAACAGAGATTTTACCCCACCATCCATCTGGGCCTGGCTTGTGGCTACCTGGTGGCTACCAGTGCTCCTGCTGTAATTACTGAATGTATTCTTCCTTAAAATAGGTAAAAAAAAATCCAAATTTAAAAACATTGAATCTAAATAAATACTCTCAGTCCTTGAATAACCCCATCTCCTTTGATTATAGGTCTTTTCTCTCTACTCAGACAATTCTTCCACCTGCTAGTAATAGGCTAATGGATTTAAACCTTGTGTCCTTGGCTGAGGAGTGAGGTGCTTTAATGCTCTGTGACCCACCTTTACTCTTGCAGAGCACATTTGGTTGGTGTTGGACCCTGAGTCACTTTATATTGGATTTATCTCTGTGAAAAGAGTTATTTGATTCCTGCAGGTTCCAGCCTGAGTTTATCCCGTGTCAGGATTTTCTCCTGACGCTGCTCATGGACAAGGTGATAATCTTGTATCTGAAGGCAAACATATAGAATACATTTCAGTGATCCCATGGAGTGGTTTCCCAGGCAACTGTAACATCTTCATCCCCAGCAGGGTGCAGGGCTTGCCTGGCCAGCTTCCCTCCGTGCTGGAGAGCCTGCACTCCACAGACGCGCCTCAACAAGCTTCCCGGAGGCTGGAAAAGCAAATGTGCTTTGGATGAGTTTGGGATGTTCCCTCTCCAAGTTAAGGTCATTCATGGGGCTGGTATTTTCCAGAATAAACTGCTCAAGACATGTAGCCTGGGCTATGACCTGCTGGAGTGGGTGATGGATTCTGGGAACACAGAGAAAAACTGAGGAGAAAAACTCCTCTCAGGGGGCAGAGACAGGCAGGTGAACCAGGAGCTGCCCCTCTCTAAAGAGAAATATTAGTGAGACAAGAGACAAACCCTCCACATGGCTGAAATTAGGAAGGGGAGAGGAGAAGGCCCCCTGAAGAACTGTCTGGGATGGTCTTATTGTGGCCTGTCAGTACCTAAAGAAGCTCTGAGAGAGCTGGAGAGGGAATTTTCACTAGGGCAGGTAGAGAAAGGACAGGGGGGAATGGCTTTAAACTCAAAACCAGTGGGTTTAGATTAGATATTGGGAAGAAATTCTTCCCTGTGAGGGTTGGGAGGCACAAGGTGCCCAGAGAAGCTGTGGCTGCCCCATCCCTGGAAGTGTCCAAGGCCAAGTTGGATGGGGCTTGGAGCAACCTGGGACAGTGGGAGGTGTCCCTGCCCATGGCAGGGGGTGGAGGGAGATGATCTTCAAGGTCCCCTTAAAACCCCAACCCATTCTGGCATTCTATGAAAACATCACTTTATGCAGCAGAAGAAAACCATAGTAAATACATTTTGTTTTGGTTCTGAGTCCATTCATGTGGAAAACAGGACTGAGCACAGAAGGACAGTGGAGAACATGACACTGCATGAACACAGTGTGCTCCTCTTCAAAACCCCTCCCCAGCACCTGTTTGGGCTACACCACCCCCAATCTGTCAGTGGGGTTTGGAGGGAGGTTCTAGGTTAGAAAATAGCCCTGGGAGATGCAAAGTTCTCAGAGTCTGTGTCTCCCATCTCTGACATGTGGAACAGAAACATCCAGTTCAGAGCTTGTGAACTGCAGGGAGTGCAAAGCGATTTGATGTGGCTCCAGAACATAGTTTGGCACTGAAAAAGGAGAGGTTGACTCTGAGATGCACCAAGAAACCACAGCAGGGCTGAGCTGTGAATTGTTCCAGGGGAATGGGAAAACTTTGGGCTGAGCCTCTTGGCCACGTTGTTATCGGTGTCAGGCCCGTGGTGCAGACTCGCCCCGAGGGCACACACTGCAACACTTCCACAGAGCACATGTTAAGAGACTCTGCCTTCACATCAGGGGCCTGCAATGAGTTGGATCAGAGTATTTTTAGCTCTTGTCCTGTTGGCTCAGGCAATGCTGATATTATGGAGTTTGGCAAGGCAGGGAACTGTGGGGTTATTTGAGTTTCAAGGGATCTCCTACGTGTAATGTGGTCGTGTCGTTCCGGCTGCGGTAACTGGGACTGTGGGAGCTTCTCTTCCTTAGCTGCTCATTCATAATTTGTTGTGCTAGTTGGAGCATCTCTGATCTCTTGAGGCAATAAGGAAGGGCAGGAGCCCTGGGCAGAGATCCATGAGCTGGTGGAGATGCTGCTCATGAAGCACCAGGGGAAGCATCACCTTGTCCCTGGGGCACATCCTTACCCCCAAAAACCCTGGGGTCCCACCACACCCCTTCAGTGCTGAGGCCCAGCTGAGTGGAGCACATGGTGCTTCTACAGAGTGTTAACTCAGCTGTGCTCCTTGCCTGCTGCAGAGCCAAGTTCTCCAGCTCCTGGTGCTTCTTGGTTTTAAAATGATGCCCTCAGCCCTTTGAAAGTGCTCCCCTGTCTCTCCTCACCCCTCACAGCTGGGACACACTCAGACTTTACTGAGAAGTGCAATATTGAAGTCCAGCATGTCACTTTTGCAGTGTACTCGTGAGCTGGGAATTGGGTTTAAAAGCGTGAACCTTCCGTGCTCAAATGAAAGCAGGGGCTGTCAGCAGGAAGGGGCTTGGGAAGGAAGAAAGAGGCACAGGGTTTTTGAGCACTACATGTTTGCTCCTGGCAGTCAGAGCAGTGCCAGGCTGAATGGAGAGCTGCTCCTTTTCATGTACTGTGCCTTCAGAGCTTTTCCTGTGAGACCAGAGCAGTGAAACTCTGTGGTGAGTAGCTGGAGAATATCCACTGTCCTGTCACAGGGAAAAATCCTGATCCTCAGCATCTGTGGCCTTTCCTATTCCTCAGAGAGTAGGTTATATGAGCTTTTCTAATACTGGATTTTGTGTTTATTCCTACTAATCTGTACTCTTGATTAAGAAGCTGATTGCCTCCAAAGTTGGCAGCTCTGGGGAGGGGTAAAAAGACTGAAGACCCTGATGCTAAAAGGGGAATTCAGATGGTGGAGAGAGGAGGAGAGGTGAGGTTTGCAATTTAGGTATTGATGCAAGTAATAGAAGAATAAAAGAGGCAGATATCAAAGTATCATAGAATCACAGAATGGTTAGAGGTGGAAGGGACCTTAAATCTCCTCTCATTCCACCCCCTGCCATGGGCAGGGACACCTTCCACTAGCCCAGGTTGCTCCAAGCCCTCTCCAACCTGGCCTTGGACACTTCCAGGGATGGGGCAGCCACAGCTTCTCTGGGCAACCTGTGCCAGGGCCTCACCACCCTCACAGGGAAGGATTCCTTCCCAATATATAATCTAAACCTACTCTCTTTTAAGTTTAAAGCTATTTCCCCTTTTCCTGTCCCTCCAGGCCCTCGTTAAAAGTCCCTTTCCAGATACAACTTCTTGAGGAGTTACATCGCACACTAAAACATAATTGGGTACAAAGAAATCCTTGCACAGAGCAAGAAAAATCCAGTCAGCTGCAAGAGGCTTTCAGTGAGGAAACTGCAACTTCTCCTGTCTTTTGGTGTGTGATATTTTTGGATGAAGCCTTTTCTAAGGGGGAGAGAACACGAGGGGAAATCAGGCTGCTTGGTCGCTCATGTTCAGACAAAAGGCACGTCAGCCGGGGCACCGAAATGTTTGACAGCCACATTACCTCTGCTGCTTGAGGACCTTTATAAGCAGTGATAGTCGCCAAGAAATCATCCAGGCCTGGCATTTTCAGAGGCTACAGAACAAGGCAGGCTCAGAGTTGGATTTTATCTTCCTACCAGCAAATTTTAAAGCCCGACATGACGCTTGCTCTAGGGCTCAGTGCCTGTTTGTTTTCTGTTTGGTGGGTCATTATGGAGAAGATCCCTCCTTTCAAAAGGCTTTTGTGGGAAAGAAGGACTCCTTCAAAGAGTCTGCAGTATCCTTGTTTATTTAAGTGGCACAGACAAAGAAAATAGCAATGAGCTAAAAGAGCATGAAGGACAGATGGAAAACGCTCTGCATTTTGGAGAAAAAAAGGTGTGTCCTCTCACCTCCTCCAAATGATGAGAGCTGTTCCAGATGCAGCCACTTATTTCCTAAAGGTACTTTAGGTCTCATGTCACAAATTCAAAGTGGCATCTTACCCTTCTCCAGAAATGCCAACAGCTAATCTGGGGAACAGCTGAGATTTCTCCCTCGCAAATGTTTGCCCGTTCAGAAGGAAATTGAGTCACCTCTGAGTTGTGATTTGGAGATTTTTCTCATAATTCTCTGCCAAATGAGAGGTAACTTCGCTTCCAACCCAGCTGATCAGGACTGTTTGTGGAGGCAATGAGCCTGTTGACAGATGTTTTGCATCCAGCTGACCTGTTTTCCATCCTGAAGGTCGCTCTGGATTGCATAAAATCCTGTTCAGGTGGGAGCAATTCCTCCCTTTCTGTCCAGCCTGTAGGTGCTGAGTATCCAGATAAGCTTTCAGCATCATCTGTGTCCCTTTCTGCCCTTGCAGTTGTTATGGGTCTGCGGGTTTGTGTCCCACATTTTGCCTCCCCACATAATTCCTGGGATAGCAGTACTGCCAGCTCTGGCTTTTGCCCTACGTTGCTCCCTTTTTTCCATTCCTAATTGACAAAGTGCTGTTGCTGTGACATCCCAAGGACTTAGAGAGCAGGAAAGAATGGTTTTGTACTGAAATTCTGTAGGTGAAAATACACAAGCTTGCTTGAGACAGAATATTCTGCTGGCATCTTAGCATAATAGAAAATACTGGGTATGTTTTCCTTGTCTTCCTTAGCCTTATCCATGAGAGAACCTTGAGATACAGAGCAATAACACACATAAAAAATTGCACCCTTCAAAGCCACCCAGCTCTTCCTCACTATTCCTTACTATTTATAATATTTATGTTAGTTTTCCTTGACTCCTTTAAAGTCTGATCCCTTTAAAGTTTGATCTCTCCTTCTAAAGTCACATCAGACTTTCCTACATCCTTTTCTCCTCACTCTCCTCAAAAAACTTTGCTTTTTCTTGTCTATCTGGGCTCTTTTCTCTTTCCGCCTTCTACTTCAACAACTATTCAGACTGTCTCAGATCATCGAGATCTTTGTTGCATCTGAACAGAAATTGGGGTTTGGCTTTGACAGGTGTCTTTTTAGCTCAGCACTGACATCTTTTCTTAGGCAGCAACTTCCTGCAGGATCTATTTGAGACATTTCTGAGTGCATAAATTACATTGGCATGTACAAATCAGTGCAGCAAAAATGTTAATTACTGCCACTTTTCCCTTGCTGAGCCTCCCCTTAACGGTTTGAGCAACTTTCGTCTGCTCTGCTCTTTTATATTTTTGTCCCTCCAGATAAAGTATCAAATGGCTTTAACACTTGGTGGTGGTGCAGAGAGAGCAAGGAGAGCTTGTTTTCCATGTTGTGCTTCATGCAGATTGTTTCTCTGAAGGCGTGTGAAGGAACCTGACCGAGAACGCAGGAGATCTGTAAGTCTATAAATTGCTGCTGTGCTTAAATACGTTTTTGCCAAAAACCTTATTCTTGCCATTCCACGTGGGACGTGGCACGAGTGTGGTGGCATCAGCAGGAGTGGCGTGGATGTTTGTGGCCTGGCAGAGGGTCTGTGAGGTGCCACGTGCTGCGGGACGTAGGAGACGATGACGTTTGGCATCACTTCCCATCATCAGTGTTTGACATCAGCAGCAGCTCTGCCCCGTGCTGGGAGTGGGATAAGGAAACTCAAGCTGTCTCTGCCCACACCATCTCTGTGTATGTTGTAACCAAGAAAAGGAATATATATAATTAGAGAGGATGATTTAGGTTTTCAGATCCTGAGGATGGTGACTATGACACAGTGACAGTTCCTGGATGAGGTGGGATCAAAAACGTGACTTTAGAGCTGATTTCTCCTCCTGGCATGGGAGGATCCAGCTGCAGCTCCATCCCCTTTGTTGTGATAGTGACATGCACAGCCCTCATGATGCTGAAGTGCTTTGAAATCAGGTGGAAAAAGGGATCCTGAGGTTTACAGGATCAGTATGTCCACAAATCTTGGACCTGTTCCTTGTACAGCCCTTTCTGCTCCCCTTGTGCCTGCTGAGCATCCATCCAGGAAACCCAGGCACTGCTGTGGAGGGGGAGGCAGGACTGGCAGTGCCTCTCCTGCCTTTAATGCCTTTTGATTTTCTTCCTCTCATGGATCAAACCTGTGAGTCAGAAGGTGCATTGCTGGAGCCTTGACCACTGCAAGCTCAGGCTTAGAGGGGAGTGATATCTGAGTGGAATTGCATTAAAAGTAGATTTTAAAAAGGAGCCATGTATCTTTTAAGCGAGGGCTAAGTGCCAGGGCTCAGTTAGGAGCTGTCCCTGCCTGCAGGAGCTCGAGCAGTGTGTCCCTGACAGGACTGTGCTCTGTGGGCAGCAGCTTTAGCAGCCAGCATGAAATTCAATAAATGTGTCGCTCCTTCTGGAGAACTTCTGAAGCTGAAAAAGGAACACAAAGCTGTTTATCCACAGCAGCCAACACAGGCCTCAGTGGACTGGGAAAATATGCACCTGACCTTTGATGAGACTGTTGTGTCCTCCACAGAGAGTGTGTGGTGAGAACACCTGGATGGCACAGGAGCCAAGGAAATGGCACGGGAGCCAAGGAAATGGCACAGGAGCCAAGGTAATGGCACAGAGGACAGTTCCAGGCCACAGGCATGAGTGCCACGTGCTTGGGGACTAGTCAGAGATGGTCAGGCACTGCCTGTCAAATATCCAAGAGCAGGAGGGAGGCAAGAGCTGTGTCCACCACAGCTGCACCATTCGGCATTAGAACCCCTTGCCCCTGTCAGCCAGGGCTGGGCTCTGTCTGGATCAGGGAAAGGTTGGATTGGAAGAGACCTTAAAGATCATCTAATCCCACCCCTGCCATGGGCAGGGACATCTTCCACTATCCCAGATTGCTCCAAAGCCCATCCAGCCTGGCCTTGGACGCTTCCAGAGGTGGAGCAACCACATCAAAATTTTATGAGTTTAAGGGATTTAGCGACAATGCACAGAAACAGTCAAGCGTGCATCTCCAGCAACTCCTCAGCTCCTTTGTGCCTCTGCAGATGAGATCCCAGTGGGGCAAGCAGAGGTTTGGTTGTGTCCCCTCGCTGGCAGTGAGAACACAGCAATAACGACCAAAGGAATAAACCTGCTTTCTGACTCTTGTTTTTCTTCTGTCTTCATGTCTTGCTGGGATTTTCTATTATCACTGAGCCAGGAACAGATTCATATGCTGGGAGCATGATTAGTTTCCATCTTGCACCTTGCAGTGGTCTCAAAACAAATGGTTTCTCAATGTTCTTGAAAGCAACAAAAAGATTGAGCTTGGAGCAAAATGTCCTGGAGGCTTTCTCCAGAAAAGCCATGCTGAGGTTTCACTGGGACCATCTCAGAGGAAAACAACAAGATTCCACACCTTGCCTTTATCCAGAGCATGAGCCTGCTGTTCATGTTTGGGGTTATACCAATGGACCACAGTTTTTGGTGTGTTCATCAATTTTGATTGTTTTGTTCCCTTAGCAAAGTTAATTTAAACATTTAATTAACATTAAAAATTTAATTTAGGTTGACTGCTGTGATGGGGGAAGGACATATCATGTTCTAAAGCTTATAGGCCTGTTAAGCTCATTAAGTTGCAAGGTTTGAGAGGCTCATCAGCAATTTTTTTATTGTTTCATTTTTTGTGGGAAAAGCAGAGGAAAGCAGTAACAAGGTTCAATACACTGTTCCTTTAACAAAGAAGCAGGAAGGAAGAGGTGATGCCATGGGCTTTGCAGGCAAGTGGAAGATATTGCTGCTAATTTATTCTCCTAAAATGCAAATTTTATGGCTGCTGGGAGTTTTTATTATGGTTCTTAATGATTCCCATGACCTGTGATACCTGCCAGTGAACCTTAGCTGGGAGCAAAGCCTCCACCTGGGTGCCCTGCAGACAGAGGAGAAGCCAGAAATGTCAATTGCCACTTGTTCTGTTAAACCTGATTTCCTCCAAACCTGAAGTGAGAATATATAGAACGTATCTGAATCTCCACATACACTTTCTGCATGCAAATCACAGTTGTGGTGTGTTAAATTGCAGCCTGAAGAGCCAGAAAAAATAAACAGAAAGAAGGGAGAAGCAGATATGAGGGATTGAATCTTCAGGTAAAACCTCTTCTGTGTGTCTGAGGGGTGGGCAAAACCCCTTGAGCCCCGTTCTGGGGGGGTGATGTCTCAATAATTCTTGCTTGTTTAAGTGCCATCTGCATCACCAAGGAGGTTTAGGTTGGATATTAGGGAAAATTTCTTCCCAAAAATTATTGTCCAGCCCTGGCACAGCTGCCCAGGGCAGTGGGGTAGTCCCCATCCCTGGAGGGATTTAAAAACCCTGTAGATGTGGCACTTGGGGACATGGGTTAGTGGTGGCCTTGGCAGTGCTTGGGACTCGATGATCTTGGGAGCTTTTTCAACCTAAACTCTTTCATGTTTTTATGGGTTTTTTCATGTGAAAGCTGTTTGTGGTTGGTCAAAGCCCTTGAAAAGGTGGAATCTTCTCTGTGCACCTCTCATGTACAAAGCTTGTGAGCCACAAATGTGGCCCAATCCTCTTTTTTAGAGGGATGTGATAAAGCTGAGCACAGGAGGTGCTGACCAGGCACAGTGGAGGGTCACCAGGAGGTCAAACAACTCATGATTTAAAAAAACTAAGTTAGCAATGCACACTAAAGTGTACCTGGAGAGTCTAAGGCTGAACATGGAAATCCTGAACTTTTATCACAAGCCTGTTCTTGTCCCTCATCTTCACAAGCAGAGTTGTGCAAAGGTTAATTTTGTATGAAAATGGAGTTAAACTAAATGCAGATGCAGTGAAAGCTGACACCAAACTAAGCTTGAGCAGAATCCACCACAAAGTGCTTTTCTTTGCAGCAGAAACACGGACTAATCCTCTTATCCTTGGAGTTGGAGGTCCTGTAGAGTGGGAACGGGAGGCTCGATTCAAACCAGAGGATTTTCTCTCTGAATAAGAGGGCACAGACTGAATATGCAAATAGTGAAATGTTCTCCTGACGAGTTTTCTTAAGGGATTGCTGACTGCAGGGTTTAAATGAGGCTAATTTATCCTTATTTCTCTAGCCCTGCTGGTCCTGAAGGATCCTGAAGTACTTTACCAGCAACTACAAGTCATTGAAGAGTCATTGGATTATGTCAACCACTGACATGATCAGCACCACCCTGGACAGTGGGGAACAAATTGTCAATCACAACCTGGGATCACATCATGAATTTTTCTATAAAAACTGGTAAAGACCCTTACATGGCTTTCTCCAAATCTTACCTGAAGATATTCCAGCTCTCTGCCTCCTGGAATTAGGTGCATCTACATCAGGAGACTGACTCTGTACAGATAAACCACACAACCCCCTAAAATGTCACACAATTAAATTTGTTGCAGTAACAAATTATGCACTCAGACAGCAAACATTTGCTGCATTGGAAATTAACACCATTTATTAATCCTACAGAAGATTTGATTGAATAAACTTAATGTCAGCTAAGATATGTCTGCATGTAACAGAAGAAATAAGTGTCCACAGGACTTTAGTTCAAAGAAAAACACTCAAAATTTGGGTGCATTAGAAACCAAGCATGTAAATTAAAAAAAGGGAGGAGAAAAAGGAAAAAAATTGTTCTGTATTGTTCTCTGTATTGTGGCTGCTCTGAGTATAATAAGATTCTTTAAGGAACTTTCTACTTAAAGTGCAGTTTTAGTGTTTCTCCCTCGCTGCCAGGCTTTCCAAGGTCTTAACCTGATCTATTGGAAGTGGTAACAAACTCTCAGAATGTATTTTTGAAATCCTTAGACCTTTGCTCAGGTTTGCTGTGATGATCCAGACGTAACAATAAACCCTCCCGAGAGACATTTAATGGGACACTTTAAATGAAATCACTCGGTGGCTTCGTAATGGCAGCTGAACGTGTGTTCTTGCCATTTGCCCATTTAAGAAGAAGAAAAGGCCAAACAAGGGCCAATTAGTCATAATAAAATCAGCTTTGATGACATTTTCACTCCTGAACTCTGGTATAAAATGGTCATCTAAGAAAGAACTGAAGGGATGTGTGAGGAATTTGGTAATAGGACTGCGTGTACGTACAACACGCTCTCCTGAGTAAAAAATGAGCAGGTAAAGACACTGCTGGTTACTTGGTTTATGGAGAAAATATGCTGGGTTTCTGTGTTTTTCTCTGTATTCACCTGGTTTTGCTTGATTTTGGTTCAAATTTTAATTAATCTCATGTTTTCTTTGGAGTCTATGCAGGTTAAACTTTGTTTTCCTTCTGTGGATCTCAATGACATTCGTGTGCTCGGGTTACCCCGTTGGCCCTTCCAAGGTAAGTCACACTCCCTGCTTACTCCAAGATGAGATGCTTCATTTATTTCAAATTGCTATTTTATTTAAGTTAGTTTTGTTTGTTTGAGTGCTTCTTTGTTGTTGTGGCTTTTTTTATGAAATGAAAGAAGTTCCTTGTATTAAAGCTATTGGTTAATTATCATTACCTAATTTCCCTGGAGTATAACCCAATTTTTGCTTTAGTTATTAATAAAATATGCAAGCCTCTAAAATAATCATGTGAGAGATCCAGTGCATATTTAATGTGGAGTGTGGGGAGCTGAAATATTGTATGGAAGAGAAAAAAACATAAATCTCTTCATTTCATCTAAATTCCTTGTCTATATCAAATAGGTACAACTAGATACATGTATTAATTTGACTTGTTTATAAACCAGTTAATTTATTTGTCAGTGGGTAGGTAAAGTTGAAATTCTTATATGAAGCTATGGAGAATTATTGCACAGAATCAGGAGTAGAAAGTTGATTAACTACGAGAGAAAGTAGAACAGCCTGTAAAGCTGAAGTGAGCAGGTTAGTTGAATAATATTAATATCCTTTCCATGACAAATTGCTGGCCAAGTCACCCAGACACTATCCAAGACTTTCCCAACGTGGAATGAGATATTTTATTTCTAATGATGACCAATTTCCCTCCTCTGGACAAAGCCTTCCTTAGATCCCTGTATTTTATTGCTGTAAATCACCTCTAGGAGCCACAGTTCATATTTCTGTGTTTCCTCTGGTGTGTTTTGCATCATTATCTTTTCATTAAGGTGATCTGCTGTTGTCAGAATTTCTGGCTACTGGCTTCTATTTTATGGATGTGAAATCCCTGTTATCCTTAAAGTATCCATTGCCTGGCTCATCTCTCTGTTTTTCTTCTGTAAATGCTGAATCATCTTTCATTTCTGATCATGGGTAGTTTGGGCACAGCTTGATCTGAGCAGCCACTTTTCCTCCTGGATCTCTTTATGGCAGTGATATCATAGGTAAAACTGAGTTTAATTATTGCAATACATTGAATTTATTTATTCGATTTCAAGATAACAGTCATTTCCTCAGTAAGGGAAGTCTAGGCAGGTAGCAAGGGGAATTTCTCTGTGCCTGGGTTGTTGTTTTTTTTTTGTAAAAAAAGTGTTTCTTCTTGTTAGGGAGAAAATTCAGTCTGGGGAAACTCCTCATCTGTGACAGAAGGGGATGGGACTTGCTCTTGGTTGTTAAGAATCATTAAACAAACAAAAAAAATATAAAGTACTAAACAATATTAAATGAAAGCAGTAGAATACTGAATTAAAGCTAGTAAATCTAAATTTTATTCCAGTGAAGGCAGGGGTTAATCCTATGCCTTTGCATGGAACTTTTAGAAATGGAAGAGTATTGTTTTTAGATAGATAATCAACCAGCTGGGAGATCAGGATATGGTGAAAGATGCACACAGCAACTATAGACATGCCCGGAAATGTTTTGCTTTTAAAATTCAATGATAGTTCAAATGCAATTCAATGTAAGGGCAGTTTAAATCTGGAAAAGTTTCTATGTAGTTTGCATTTTTATCCTGTAAAGTGCAGGTAGAAGGAATGTGTCCAGAAACCTACATGGATTTTTATGCAGAATTTTTAAAATTCCTATTACTATATTTTCATTATTAAACTTTACTACTACCATAACCACTCATACCTACTGGAAATCTTCCTCTCCCAGATTTCTGCTTTATAGATATTTTTGTTTTCTCTTACCTGTCATTTAAGCTACATAACTTCACACAAGCTACAACAAGATTCTATTTCATTGTTCACTGAAAAGATCTCATTTTACAGCAATAAACACGGATGCCATTCCAGGGAAACTGTGTCACATGTCACAAGTGGTCACCATCACAGAGAACAATTCATATCATACTGTGAATGTAATTGTATCAGTATTTTATACCAGAAATGCAGTGAAGATTTCTGGAAAACGATGAAAAAAATCTGATTTTCAGTTTGAGAAATCCCTAGCAAATAACAGTTCATCCTTGTCATAAACAATAAATTGTTTTTGTGTTTCTACTTCGCTTTTCATAGTGAACAAGCCCTGGCAAATACACAAATCCATAATTTTACCTTGTCTTATCTGTCTTTTTTTTTTTTCCCCTTGTTTGCTTGTTTTTTAATCTCCAGAGCAACAATCCTTTTTATTTGAATTGCCAGCTGTATGGAAAATCTGATTATTGCCTGCTCCTGCTGAACAGCTGCTTAGCCAAGGTGGGCAGGGATGAAGAACTGGCTCTTTTAAAGCCTCACCTGGAGACACCTCTCGACAAAAGGTCCTTTCGCAACGGCGTGGGATCGGGAATTAAAAAAACTTCCTTTCGAAGAGCAAAGTCATGAACAAGTGCCCCCAACCACGGCCCCCATTTTGACATCTGATGTTTAACTTTGTGCTTAAAGAGTTATTTTGATGCTTTTCTAGGATCAGACCAGCCCGTGTCCTCAGCATGTAACCGGGTGTTTGTTCCCGAGCGCTCGAGCCGAGCAGAGCAGATGGGATTGCTCGGAACGGGCTTTGTTCCCCAAGTTACAGTGTCATAAAGTTTTGTCTTGGAATGAATGTTTTCAGTTGGTTAATTCCCCTTCTTTGTAAAGCTACAGATTTAATCAAGTTGCTTTTGATTAATACCAAGATAATCCTATGCTATGAGTAGATGTGTGTTCGCAGCCTGTGGGGAGGATGGAGCATATTATTCCCAAAATCCCTCCTCTCTGCCATAGAGACAAACACGAGGCAATCCTCTGCTTTCCTGTCCCAAATCACATTTACTTGAAGGCAACTGCTCTGGCAACTTTAATACACATGTAAAGTACATTTTATTTCAGATTCCCAAAGATATGAAGGGCCACTGATGAAAGGCAGAATCAGGCCCTACTTGTAACTTCCACTGGCTTTTTAATATAGTTATTTAAAATTACTTTAGCAGGGAATAATCTCTGGAGACGTGTCAGCTCATTTCCAGAAGAGTCCTGGGAAATCACTGTAAGGCAGGGTATCAGCACTGCTCCCTGTGCCTCAGTTAATTGACTTTGGTAGGCAACACACAGCTGATGAAATGTGCCAAATGTGGGATTTTTTCAAATTTCCTGTTAAAAAAAAAAGAAAGAAAAAGGTAATTTTGTCTGAAAACAGGTAAATGTGGGGTGTAGGAAAGGTCATCTGCTGAGTTACACATGTGTGAGTTCTACCTTGTGGCTGTTTCCTCCAAGTGCTGTGATGCTGGCTTGAAACGTGGCAGTGTCCATACAATTCCTTTTGTATTCAAAGATACTACTAATAAATCAATAGATGGATGTTTTCTAATATTTCCCTGTTAAAGATCATAACCCAGGAGATCATTATGAACCCTACAAAAAGGTGGTTTGGCATCATCACCTCCATGGTGCCCAATCCTGTGTTTTGTACCTCTGAGCCCGTGGGGAAAAGTGACCCGATCGTGGAGCTCTTTTGGTGGGATATCAGGTTTCTGGATGATTCCTGGCTGATTCAGGGAGATCAAACACGCTCCTGTCTGTGTTTGTCCAAGTTGAAAAGTTTAATGCTTCATATTTTTTAGAGCTGCTTAAACACTTGGGCTCCTTTGGGACAGTGCTGGTCTCTAGGTTTCTTAGCTCTTGCATCTCTTTGTCGAGTGTCTCCTAGAGAATATTAAAAATTTATAAGGAAAATATCAGATATTTGTTATTCTCATGAATTCTGTCTCCTGTACTGTCAGATGAGCAGGGCAAGAGCAGTGACACAGGAATTCCACTGCAGCAGGACATTTGACCTGTTCCACTCTTGGCTGCTGTGATTTTGGCCACAGCAGTCTCTTGCAAATACAATTGTCCAACTCCAGCAGCATCCAGGTCTCTCCAGAACTGCCCAAGAAGCTGTGGCTGCCTCATCCCTGAAAGAGTCCAGGGCCATGTTGGATGGGGCTTGGAGCAACCTGGGGTAGTGGAAGGTGTCCCTGCCCAGGGCAGGGCGTGGAACAGGGTGACCTTTAAGATCTATTCCAACTCAAAGCATTCTGGGATCCTGTGATTCCATGATTCCATGATTCTGTTCTGCATCTGTGCACAGCTGTGGGGATGGAGATGTTTTGCCACAGTGCAGCTTCCTGGCGTGGTTCTGTCCTGCTCCTTGCAGCTCATATCCCACCCAACTTAATTTTCAGGAAATAAAAAAAAACTGGAACAAATTCAGATTTACGTTTTTCTTGGGCTTTCACATCCATTTTTGTTCACATTTTTCTACATAATCAAATACATTCCTGCCTTGGTAACCTGGGATGAGCAAGGTTGTCTGGCAGTCAACAGAGCTCTACGTGGAGCTTGGAAAATCAGCCTCTTCCCTTTCACTTATTGTGCAGGATGAAAGTAACTCGTTTAGTGTTTGGCATTTGCCTTGGAGCAGGGAAGGGATGCAGAGCCAGGATCCTGCTCGCACAGACCTTCATCCCCTTTTGTTGAAAGGATGGGCTGCAAGAAAAAACAGCTTCTTGGCTGCAGGAAAAAGCTCATTATTTATGATTTAGCCATTGCCTGACAAGCCACTCCACCTTGAGGGATCTGCATAGACAAAAAGATCGTAGGAGGAGGCCACCAAGAGCCATAAGTCCTGTACTCACCTAAATCACACTGAGCAAGCCTGGAAAATGCAGATCATGCAGCTGACTTGCAGGAGTGGTTCTGTCACTGCTGGGCTGATCTTGCCATCACCGCCCACTGAAAACTCAGGGCTGCCACTGATGAAATGCTGAACTCTTCCCTGAACTTTAAAGGTGGTTTTATTTTGGAAAGAACAGAGAGTAACATCAGTGATCTCTGTCAGAAAATAAGGATCTAAGGGTGCTATTGCTTAGCACATTAATTTTTATGCTGACAGAAACTGGAAATATGGCATAAGACATCTCTTTTTTCAGTAAAAAGAGGACATAGGGCTGGCTATAGGGATGCCAACCTACAGCATAATTAATGTACTGCCAGGAATTATATTCCTTTCTGGAGAACAAGGATTCATTACACTGTGAAAAGATATTTTGTTGACTTTTTTACTATTTTTCTTGGTTAACCTAAAAGAAGGAGAGAAAATAAGAGAAATAGAGGGTGGGAAGAATAATGCTTTGTCTAGGGATTGAGGAGCAAATTGGGAGGTTGGGAATGGCCTGGCCAGTCTTGGCCTTTGATAGTAATTCAGTCTGTGACCTCAGACAAATAATTTATACTGAATTTCTGCTACTGAAAAATAAGAAACTGTCTCCATCAAGCCATCTTGAGTAAGCAGTGTCATGACTGACGGATTTGGGAAGGGCTTTGGAGATGTTGGGGCAGAGAAGGGTGGTTTCCACAGCTGGAGGGGCTGGGAGAGAGGTGTGAGCTCTGCTTTGCCATCAGTGTCACCTCCAGCCTCCCCTTCAGCATGGGACCAAGCATCCTCTGCCCATGTCCATTTTGTAACCCCCAGGGAGCCCTGTGGATCCCACATCCAAGCCAATTCCCGGGTTCATGGCCTGTTTTCAGCAGCACTGTCCATTACTCCAGCTCCAGCCAAGTAAATGGTGCTGGCATGAGATGCTCATTCCCCACTGAGGCTGAGAGAGAGGCATCCTCTATCCCTGCACCTTCAAAGGGCAGCTGCTGCAGTTTGTTCAATCTTAAGCAAGTAATCCATGTATTTTCTTAATTTTTGACTGTGCATCCTTTGGTAAAACAGATGAAAATGCATTTAAAGGACATCCAGAATCCATAAGGATTTTTTTTACCTTACTTTGCTCTAACTTGTATCCACCTTTGGAGGCTTTGGACATAAATTTCCACTAATGATTGCCTGTCTATGGGCTATGGGAGCCATCACTGAGCTCAGCAATCACTACTTTGAGCAGCCTCTCTGTCCTGAGCCCTGGGGTTGGGATGAAGCTGTCCCGTGGCTGTGGCAGCTGCATCCCCATCCCATCTCCACACCTGAAATTGCTCCTTACAAAGAGCTGGACGTGTTATTGCCTGTTTCCTGCTGCTTCTCTGCTCCCTAAAAATGATCTGTGACTCTGAAGGAGGCAGCTGAGATTCCCAGTAGGTGAAACTCAGAAGAACAAATCCAATAAAACGTGAACGAGCAAAATCTGCCTGAAGACAAGAAGAGGAATTAACATTTTTTTTCTTCTTCACAGATTATTGGCAAGAAAGGCAATTAAATAGCCTGATGTAATAGCATCTAATTAACTTGCAAGACTGAAAATTCCTTGTTGTAATGACATACCAATACTTGGTTTTCTGATTACCAAGCACATATTGAAGTATATATATCACACTGAGATTTCCTAATTTGCTATTATTTGCCTGTAAATGGTAATTTATTACCTTAAAATACTGAAAATGAGAAAGGAAGAAGTCTTTTGCTGCTTTTAGCTCTGGATATAATTTTGACCTTAAGAAAGAACAAGACAGATATGAGAGAGTATATTAGATGTTATTATTACCCTAATAAAATAGAGATAAAAATCACAGTGCAGAAAGACTCTGAGACAACTATTAACCATTTGTCATAGAAAGAAAATCAAAATTTAACTTATCAGATAGTCTGGCACTTTAAAGATTCATCATGAAAAATTACTTCTAACAGTGAAGCATTTATGCAATATGTCATTGATGAGCTGTCTGCTTAAATGTTTAAAGAGTTAGGGAAAAGATTGAAAAAATGTCAAAGATACGCTTTTTATTAGTCTGGCAGAGAGCTTCACTGTATTTAAATTTATTTTTAAGAGTGAAACACTGTGGCATTACATTTTTCTGTGCGAAAACAAGCTGAGCTCATTGTTCTACCCCAACGTGAGATGGTTGGTGAGCACAACCAAAGTGAGGATGGAGCTTTTTCCCTGAAAAAATGACACAGCTGTACATCAGACATCACCCCAGAGCCCGGGGAAATTTTGCTGCCTTTGTGGCAATAGAAAGACTTTTTCTCCTAATCCCCTCCTGGATTCGAAGTCACTGGGTTGATTATACTGGAAATGAAGCATATTTTAACAGCTTGATCAGCTGAGACTCATCTCCTCCAATCCTTCGGTGTGGACCTTTCAGGAGGCATAAAAGGGCTCAGTGTGAGCAGAAATGAGCTGTCAAGTGCTGCTCTGGAGGTATCACCCACAACTCATTGGGGGCAGCCGAGAGAGGCTGAGCTCCTCGACGGGCTTTGGCTCAGACGTTCAGGGGGAGGGAATGTTTTGTGTTCGCTCCTCACGGCCGGTCCAAAGAGCCCAGAGAATCTCTATGGCAACCCTTGAGCACCTCACAGCAGCTCTGTGCTCTAACAGATTCCTCTGCCCACAAAACATCCTCACTGATCCCTGTGGTTTGTGCCCACTGTCTGCTCTAACCCACCACCTCTCGATTCAGGCACCAGAGCTCAGCTGGCACTTCCAAACCACAGCCAAATGTGGAGCTGGAGCTCCATGAGGAGCCCAGGCCACTGTGGTTGGCTCTGTGTCTTCATTAGCATCTTAATTAGCAGCATGACACTTGGATGAACCGAAGGAACTGGGGAAATTTATTGTTAAACACCAAGATGTAAATACAGGAGTCAGCATTCCAGAGTCATTCCAGTCCCCCTCCACACTGCTTTGCTGTTTGTTTTAACTAAAAACTACACTAGCAAGGAGATGGTGGTTGTGCATTTGCAGAGGTTGCTTTTTCCCCCCCTTTATTTTCAAGTAAAAATCATAAATTAAATGAAAAGAATAAATGGATCTCAACTCATAGAGGGAGATTATATACAAATAAAATGACCACGGGGGGGGGGGAAATAATTTCCATTTAGTGGTATTTGCTCTTTTTCACTGACTATTTCATGGATAATCCTCCACAGTACTGTTTTAGAATACTTTTATAGTAAATGAAGACCCAGGGTCATGATATATTTTGGTAGGAGCCATCTCCTTTGGTAGGAAGCATCTCCTTTCAGGTCATAACTTTAGTTGTCTTAATTTTGAACTGTCACACTGATTATATTAATGATTTCTTTTTTTTTGGCAACTGAATAGCAGTTGGGGTAACCTTCCCCACTCTCAGGAAATGTGAGAGATATCACGTGTTCCTGGTTTGAAGGGCTTCTGCTACAGTCCTACATATTTTGGATTAAA